ACTTTTCAAACATTTGGGATTCAAACCTTAAGTCAATAACAGGTCTCATCTAAGGCTGTATTTAGCAAAGAGCCACTTCCAAGCTTGCTCACATGGTTGTTCGCAGGATGAAGTTCCTGTGGGTTGTTGGACTGAAAACTCCACTTCCTTTCTGCTCTTGGAAGGAAGCCTCCAGTATTCCTTGCCACATGGGCCTTTCTGGAGGGGAGCTCATAGCAGCTGTCTTCCATAATAAGCAGCAAGTGAGAGAGAGAGAGAGAGGGTGTGTAGGATAGGGGCCATGTCCTCTTTGTGATCTAACCTGGACATGATATCCATCACTTTTGCCATTCTCTATTTATTAAAAGCAAATCATTAGGTCCAGCTGATACTCAGGGGAGGGAACTACACAACAGCTTGAATACCAGCAGGTAAGGATCATTTGGGGCCTTTATAAGGCTGCCTACCCCAAGGTCCTGTAGCTATACCCTTGCTTTGAACTTCCTTAAGGCCATATTTCCTTGATATCACCTCGGATTTGACCTTTGCTGTTTGGTTTCTGTGATATGGAATGTGATTCATAGCAATTCTGAAATTCAGTCACATTAGTTCCTTAATTTGAACTAATTACTTTTAGGCATGCACTTATGTTTTCAGTCATCTCTTGCTGGATAACAAAAACACCCTAAAGCTTAGTGCCTTTACACAACAGCACTCACTTTTTTGCTATTTTACAAGTTGGGCCAGACTCCGTGAAGACAGCTCATCCACCTTCATGTGGCGTCAGCTGGGCAGCTAAACTAGGGCTGGATTATCCACTTCCAAGATAACTCACTGACAAGCTGGCAATTGGTACCGGCTGTCCGCCGAGAGCTCAGCTGGGGCTGTAATTCTCCTCCACGTGGGCCTCTGCACATGGCTGCGTGGACTTCCACAAGTAATTGGAGGGAAGTGATTGAATCTCACAACTATTTAGGAGGTGAAAAGATCAGGAGGATGTTACACAACAATGTGAATATACTTCATCCTACTGTACACTTAAAAATGGTTAAGATGGTAATGCTATGTTGTGTGTTTTTGCCACAATTAAAAAGTAATAAATCAGGGGACGATGGTGACAGCCTGGAGGTGGGTGAGAGTGTGGTGAGGGAGAAAGAACATCAAGAGTGAGAAAACACAATAAAACACAGACTCTGGCCTCAAAAACTTTATTTTTTTTTTTTTGGTCCAGCAGAGGATGCAGAAGAGTTCATCACAACACATGTGGTAGATACTGTAGCTTTCTGCTGTTGCGCTAACAAAGATACAAAGCCCGTGCCTCAAAACAGACCTTAAAGCCTGCGATTCCCAGAGAGAAGCATTTAAGACATAATTACAGGTTTAGATTTCTTAAAGCATGCCTCAAAACGAACACTGCCAGAGGAGCAGAGAGGAGTAATAAAAACTACAGGTGCATACAATCTTTCCCTACCAATCCAGCACGGAACCTGGTAGGCCAGAAGCAATGCGGTAGGCTGGTGGGCAGGACAGAAAGCAGATGTTTCTTGGTCATTAGCCCTATGTTTCTAGGATATAAAGTCCCTTTGTTGTCTTATGACTTCGTGCGTCTGGAAACTATTGCTACTGCGGAGATCTCACTTTTGGAACTCTCTTTCTTTGAAGTAGTAAATAGGTAATAAAGATCATTTATATCCCGAAGGAATGTACATGCCCTTTCTCCCCCCCAACCCCACCACCTCCCACACGGTCAAACTCTCTCCCCATACTCACGGGGTTTTATGAATAGCCAAATTTACAGATTTTTATTGAGTTTTGTTGGCAACACGATTCTATTGTTCTTTTGATAAGCTTAAACCATTCTTTTTTTAAAAAAATATATATTTTATTGATTTTTTTTTTTTTTTACAGAGAGGAAGAGAGAGGGATAGTTAGAAACATCGATCAATCAGCTGCCTCCTGCACACCCCCTACTAGGGATGTGCCCATAACCAAGGTGCATGCCCTTGACCGGAATCGAACCTGGGACCTCTCAGTCCACAAGCCAAGGCTCTATCCACTGAGCCAAACAGGTTTCGGCGCCTAAACCATTCTTAATGGAAAGGAAAATATAGGAGCCCTCCTTTTACTGGCTTAGTATCCCCACCCCATACACTTTTCTAAAAACACTCTCACCCCTGACTAAATACTCTAGATCTCCCTGCTTTGTTGTGAACTGCCTGAAGCGTCAGTGGTGCAGTTTTATTTTTCCCTTTCTTGAAATCTCACCCGTTGTCCCATTTTGCACAAGCTCTCTATCTGGGGTCTCCCTTATGCAAAATAACGAATAAAGATCACTACCATGAGTTTTCCTAGTGCCCTCATGGAAGCTCTCCATGCTCAGACGCTTCCACAAATTCAGACCCTCCTGTCTCATCATGGAAGAATCTAATGTTATTTAAGCTTGAAAGTCAAAACTGATAAGACAATGTGTTCATTCGTTAAAAAACATTGAGAGCCTACTATGTGTCAGGCACTGTATAGGTCTTGGGAACACAACCATGAGCAAGACAAACAAGGATCCTCTCATGAAACTTGTTTTTTGTTTTTTTTTTAATCCCAGAGATTTTTCACTTTTAACAATGGACAAAGTGCTGGCTTGGCTTAAAGACAAAAGAATCAGGTTCTCTGTTTGGAATGAAGCCATGTTTCCCTGAGTCGGGGCAGGGGAGGTCCTCCCAGCATCCTGGAATCACACACCTTCCACATGCTCACCGAGTCTGCCTGGAACCATCAATGACTAGATCAACTGTCATTTTTCTTGGGCCTCTGCCAGGCTGCAGCAACACAATGCCTTTCTGTGGAGGGGACTCGGTAAAAGGCAAGAGAGGGCGAGGCGGGTAAAGTGCTGGCATTCCCGGTCAGCACAGGAGCCCGAGACCACCACTCAGCCAGTGCTCGGGGACACAGTGCCCCCTCGTGGCTCCGCAGGTGCCAGAGTGAGGAACTAGAAGTGGGAACGGCAGTCCCAAGTTTCCAGATTAATTACCTCCTCTCAACTTCTACTGCCATTTGAAGACCCTGGGTTCGTTTTTTATCCAGGACACACCTTTCTCTTGCCGGAGAGAGAAATGACATCCTGACAGCGATGAAGTCTCCGCATCAAAAATCTTCAGATTCCCCTCACCACCAAAAAAACCCCCAAGTATCCCTACTGGTTTTCCTTCCATCATGGCTCTCAAAGCAGATATTTTCTTTGCTTTCCGCAACTGAAGCCAGGATGTGCGATCGTGTTGCCGTGGAGCTGTTTGGGGTATCTTGTCGCCACAACACCGCTTCCAACGCCCCATCACGGAAGCCTTATCTTTAATCCCCCCGCTGCCCCCGCCGCCCTCTCCACTCCCCGGCGGCACTCAAACCCGCTCCCTGAGTCCGGCGGGGGAGGGGATGGGGCGGGGGAGGAATAAACAGCGAAGTAAGCAAATAATTAGCAATGGTGATGCTGCTGAGCTAAAGGGGCCGCGTGCTGGGAGGGAGAATTCCTGGGGTGGGAAGTGAAACGGAACTTCCCCAGGGCTGTTTAGGGAGTTTTCAATGTGTTCGTAGCAGCCACGTTTGAAAAGCTAAAGCGATAACAGTATCGGAAAAGCTCTCCGTGGCCCCGGAGTAAATGGAACAATGTTAATAACAATGCTAACTTCCACGTATTGTAAACTTAGACCGGGTAAGAACGCGTGCTGGGTGCTATCGCTCTACCCATCGACCTGTAATCTGCTCTAGCAGCGAACTGCGGGAGATAAACCCACCACACCGCCTCGCAGGTGAGGAAGGGGAGCCGAGCAAACCAGCCTCGTGCTCCGACCTCCTGGAAGGCCAGCCCTTGCCTTCAGCTGCTGTGACCTCGGAGGTCTGTCCCGGCCTCCGGCTCGGCTCGCAGGGAGCAGTGTTCCCACAGCCGACAAATATTTGCCCAGTGCCTGGTATATACCTGGTAGCGCATTTTAAAGGCCGTGAGACCGAAAGATAAACAGGGAATGGTCTCGTTGTCCAGGGAGGGGCTCTCAGAAGAGCGAGGAAGACAGCCAGGTAAACAGATAGTTCCTGGGCAGCCTGGTGCGGGCTGCGAGGGGGAGACGCACCGGGGCCGGGGAGGCGGCGTTCCCGCATCCTGTCACTTCCAGCTGCCGACGAGGAAGGGAATAAGTGGGTCTAATCCGGTCCTGGAAAGGAGGGGGAGGCTTTGGGATTGGGGTGCAGCAAACAAAAGCAGCACATCGCACTTCGAGGGGGGCCTGGCGCTCCGAAGCCCCGCACCGGACTCCCGCGCCCTGCCCCGCCAGTTCACCGACGTCGGGACGCCCAGAAGCAGGCTCACCCTGATGTCACCCTGAGGACCTGGCCATCCCTCCCCTTCGGCGGCCCTGACCCTCCGACCTGCCGCGGAGCCGGGGACCGGGGACCGCCGGGGCCCCTCCCCAACTCTCTTCTCTGGGCCGCCCCTCCGCGGCCCGTCCCGTCCCTCCCGGCGACAGCCACTGCCCGGCCAGGGAGGGCGGGGGCAGGAGGAGGAGGGGAGGGGAGGGAGGGGAGGGGAGAAGGGAGGGGAGGGAGGAAGGCGAGAGAAAGGGAGCTGCCTGGGTCGCGGACTTCCCAGAGCCTGCCCGGGGCGCGCACTCAGCGGCTCCCCGTCCCGGCGTCCCCGCCGCCCCGCACTCCGCCGCCTCCTCCTCCCGCGCCCCTCGCCCCGCCTTTCAGGAGCCGCCGGGCTCCTCGGCCGCCTCCCCACCTCTCCGGGGTCACCCCTGGAGCGCGCGCCCTCGCCCATCCTTTCTTCCTTCCTCCCCTCGCGCCCGCCCTCGCTCTCCAGGTCTCCGCCCGGGTCCCGATCGCCTGGGTCGGTCCCGCCTCGGTCCCGGCGCCTCGCCCGCCCGCCCGGAGCCCCGTTTCCTGAGCCGCCGCTCCGCGCCCGCCGCCCGGGGACGGGAAGAGGGCGAGCCCGCCGCGCCCAGCCCCGCGCCCGCCGCCCGGCGAGGGAGCCCGGGAAGATGAACAACGGCGTCAAAGCCGAGGACAGCCCCGCGAGCGAGGCCAGCCTCCAGGAGGAGGAGGTACGGGGGCTCCGGGCGCGGGGCCGCCGGGCGCGGGGTGGGGACGGCCCGGAGGGGGTCCCCTCCGAGAGCGCCTTTCCGTGGGTGCGCGCCGGGCATTGCGTAACTTTGAGGACTTTTCGGAGACTTTCTTGTAAGCATAATGCTCAGCTTTGTCTCCCCGAGACTTTGAAAGCGGAATCGAAAACTGACTCCGGGGTGACCTCAGATCCCTGGGAGCCGGGGGTCAGGGCGCGGGAAGCGGGGTGGGGTGGGGTGGTGTAGTTTGTGGGGTGTGTTTGTGAATGCGGTTCAAGGAAGAACTCGGGGAAAGTTCGTCCCAAAAGGATACCTTCCGTGCCCTGCCCCCTCCCTCTCAGCGTTGGAAGGTCTGGGTGAAATATCTTCCCAGCGGAGGCATTTTGGATTAATAGATAACTCCTGAGCCACATTCTTCTCTGATGAGTCAAAGATCCCCCCGAACCTGGGCTCTTAGGTTTTGTCAATTTAGGGCGACGCGGTGCTGAGGAGTAGGGGGCGGCGTGGGGGGGGTAGGGGGGAAGGGTAAGGAAGCTTAAAACTTGACAATTCACCAAGTGGTCATCGAAGCTGTTTTAATAGGACTTGGACTTCTGAGCCTACATTTCTTGTGGGGCGTCCCTAATAGCAACTAAAAGGTTGCTGCTGCGCAGCGCTCCTTCGATAGACACAGAATTCAGGGAGGGTAGGAGGGAACTCTTCAACACAGCTTTCAGAATCATGTCCATTGGTGGTGTCCTGTGTGATACTTCTGTTCCCGCAGGTGCAGTCTCTGGGGTCCAAGAAGCAGTCTGTTTCGCCTACTTTTTAAAGAGCCCACCCACTTGGGTTCTAAGACATTCTAAAAAGGACTTTACAGTGCGTGTGGATGCAAGTATGCATCTAGATGTGACCTGTAAAGTACTCTTACAGGTATTTATCCCAATAGAGGAGGTTAGCAGAAAGATTCTAAACTTATAAAATTTGTAGGGTGTTTAGATTATTACTGAGACACTGTGTGGCGTGTAACCTAAAATTCTGCTAGGGAAGCCAAGCTTTGTGGAGGTTTAATAAATACATATAAGCCATCAGCACATTGTCCACTTGTGAAACGAGACATATTTAAATGGGGATGATAGGGGAGAGACCTAAGAAGATGCAAACTTATATGGTAGTGTCACCTCAGTGGATTGCTGCAAGCCAAAACTTGCCTTCTCACTGGAGGAAATTGCCTATTTGATTATGAACTGTTAATTTGAAAAGTGTTGCTTCCATTCTTGTTTTCAACTACAAATGAAGCAAACGTATAGACATTTTCTTTTTCAAAGAGATAAAAGATTCCCATTTTCAAGTTCCACTTTTTCTTGAACCTTACTGGGTTGCTTTGCTATTTATTTTCCCTACCTTTGAAGTAAAATTTAAGAAACAGTGACATTTGCCTTTTTTTTTTTTTTTTTTTTTTAGAATTGCTACATGTTACTAATTCACCTACCACATCACTGTAATACTTGCTTCAGAAACCTTTCTATTTCAGTTAGGTTGGCAGGCTGTTTACTTCTAAGGGTGGAGCTATATTGTAGGAAACCATCTTTCTGTGTGTTCAGCCAATTGAGAAAACTTGCAAATGGAAAATAGTTAAATCAGGCAAACCAAACATCATTTTTTGGGGGGTGTACGTAGCAAAAGAGGTTTGCATATTCCCAATTGTAACCTACTTAAGTTGATAAAATTAGAGAAAAGTCACATTTTTCTGCTTGACCTTTTATCTGTCCTGTTGCCCTGACTGTTCCTTTTCAGGTGGGAATGGCTTGTGGCTCAAGGAAGTGTCCGTAGTCTTAGCAAGGTGTTTGCTATTTTTTTAAAAAGAGGACAGCTAGGAAGATTTCAGAACCCAAATTGTACAAGAGGTGAAGAGAGAGGGTTTATAACGTTAAGATTTCAGGAAAAGTGAGTAAGTTGGCCTGAAGGATCCAGGTAATTTTGCCCTAATTCCCTGGTTTGGGTTATGTTTTGATTTGGAAAAACTCCTAACCTCTTTTGTCTAACCCTGAAAGCCACAAGTAAAATAAATAGGGTTTTTAGTGAGTCCCATTAATGTGCTCAGCATTATACAAAACCGCCACACTGGATCCTTTCCCGCCCACCCAGCGATCAGCAATTTGTCCCCAAATCCATTTAAAAGTCTTAGCTGAGGACTCGGGTAAACAGCACACACAAACAAAATGTTATATACACATAATGGCAGGAGAGGGAAAAAATGTGTCTTGCTGTAGTTTCTGGTGGTGATTGAATTGAGGAGGAAAGGAGTCGAGTCATCAAGAGAAAATAGTTTATTTCATAGATCATCTGGGTAATTTACCCTCTCTGAGCCACATTATAGAATCCAAGTAATTTTTCCCCTATTTAAAAAATAAGTTCCTTTTCTCTTCCTGGACATTTTATCTAAGCTTCTAGAGCTTACACTGAAATAACTGATGCAAAAACACTTAATAGGTAACAACTGTATGGATTGTAAGTATTTTCTTATACTTAAATATAAAAAAGCAGTCTAGGTTTTAGGAGAATTTTTTGCAGCTTTTTAAGTTTGGAAGTGTTTTTTTTTTTTAGAACTTGGGCAGGACATATACTTCTGCTTTGGGTAGTATTTAAAACTTAGGGGGGAAAATAATTTTAAGATTTGGCTAGCCAACTGTGGAAGAGAGAACACATCTGGCTATGCATGTGTATTGCTATGCAAGTTGTAAAGGAAAACTGGTTGTCAAAATCTTTCTGGGATCTGAGAGTTATAAGGCTTATGTATAGGGTATTAGATTATTTCTTATACCATTATGCAATTAACAAAATAATTCCTAGAATTTGCCTCTAATTTTGGACTAGGCAGTATTTTCTGAAACACCTTTGGTAATTTACACTTGATCAGACTTTATTAATAGATAAGTAATAACTTAAACTTATTTACCAGTTGTTTTAAATATGAGCTCTTTTAAAATCTAGTAATGGTAGATATGTCTTTTTGGTCACTGACTTTTCAAAATAGGAATTTCTTTTTGGGAAATAAGCTAAGTATATAATTTGCTTTTAGTTTTATTTTGTGTCATTGAGTACTTTTTAGGCTGATTACAGGTTGTTTTTTAAAGTGTTTTATTATGTTGAGGTGCTGGTATTAGAGTAATTTCTCCCTAAATTGCATTGACTGAGTTTTCTTGTACTTAAATCTAAAAAAGCAAAGGACTTGGCAGTGTTGGAATGTTGATCAAAAAGATGTTAGGCAGGTGTTGGGCAGAAATCAACGTAGTCAGGTCAGTTTTTCAGAAGTTAATACCAATCTTTACCTCTCATTCCTTCTTTTAAAGTGGGTAGTAATTTTGCCAAAATATTGGGGTCATGAAGAAAATTGTTTCTTACAATTGGCACAGAGAAAAGGGTACCATGTCAATTTGGTGTGGCAACCTCAGGTTTTCATTGAGTGTTAAGATTCATCTATATTATGAAAAGTACAGAATGGTTTTATACAATTTAACCATGTCTGGAGTTTCTGTTACTCCAAATCAAATCTAATACAATCAGCGTATACTTCAGTCAAAGGACAGATTTGGTGACAAGTGCGTTGGGTGGAAATGTGGTGACTTCATAGTAAAATGATGCTGCAAGACCACCGCCAACATGGCATGCGCTTTTTGTTATTCTGGTGGTTTTTGTTCTTCTCCCAGTGGTGGTTTTTCCCCTGATAAACCCTTCTGTTCATGTGCAGGCTTGTTTCCAATGGTATTTGTTTATGGGATAGATACTTGGGCTAGGACAAAAGTGATCAGTTTTGGGATGAGGAAGAAAAAATAAAAAATCTTGGGGACTTAAATCAACAGAAATGTATTTCCTCCCAAATCTGGAGGTCAGGAATTTTAGAAGCAATGTGTGTCCATATCGCCACGCTTCCCTGGGAGAATCTGATTTTGTCTCTTCCTGCTTCTGACTACATTTTAAATGAGGGGATAATCCTCAATGTTACAACATTATATGAAGAGAAAATATTTTTAATATCCATACCATATGCCAGTTCTTTAAAAAATACATGTCAAATAATAGGAAAAATTGTCAGATTGGTGGATTATAGATCATTTTTATTTACTTTCTGATGTTTTTCTGTGCTTTCTGGATTTTCTAAAACGAACACATGAACAAAAACAACGTCTTTTGCTTTGTAGATGTCATTACGTTTCTTTGCGCTATCTGTAGGTGTCACGAAACCACTGGTCTGGTTCCGTTCTGTTTTGTTCACAAGTGTGGCTGCAGGAATCTGACCTTTTCTATTCTCCTCGCCTTTCTTCACAGTGTTTCTCACCTACTCCCTTGTCCTGGCTCATCTTCATGATCTTGAGCAGCTCTCTTTGTTCTCATCTGTTTTCTCAATCCATCCCTACACCCTTTTGCAGTGTCCTCTGACTCCCTCAGCCTCAACGCCTTCAGCGTAAGGCTGATCTCCACACAGGAAGATCCAAACTTGACAAAATTGCCTGAACATACTCTGCAAACCACTGGTTTCATCCACTGTTTCCCTCTTGATCTTGCCTGCACTGCTCTCAAGTTTCAGCCTTCATTTTTGCAGGATCCCATCACTCAATCCCTAAGAGATGGTTTTCCTCAGAATCCCAGTTATCTCTGGTAGCTTTCTGTTATCTTCATTCAAGTCCTGAATCATTACCTTCTTTCCTGTGGTGTTTTTTTTTTTTTTAAAGATCAGTGACATCTTATCACAGTATTCCCAACACTCAACACCTACCCATGGATACTACTACCCCAGCACCAGCGAAGTACCGCACACACAGTTGCAAACTATACACACACATACACACACACACACACACACACACACTTCTTTATACATGCATCATTTATAAAATAGCTTTATTGGTAGGATTGGTGATGATGTTAAAAAGCAGCCACTGTTTATGATGGAGATCCCTTGCCCACAGTCATGGATGGATCCCCTGGGAAGTTAAGTCCCT